GGACCATATAATATGAAGTACATAAAATTACGTTTTTTACTACAACACTGCTACTGGTCAGTAATATGTATGAATTTATACACTGCCTTTTGCACATACTGTACTTGTACTGCTACGCCATACTCACCAAACGTAGCAATTTGTGTTGAAAATATCTATCTTCTAAGATTATTTTACATTTTGCTTCCTTCACCAATTGTACATTCATGTTAATAAAAAAGAAGTACAACACAGTAGCTCTTAATTCAAATCAAACAACAATTGCGGACCTACCATTTATTAGCTATTGTCTATTCAATGTCTATTTTCACATGTTTTGAAGATAATATTTAGACCTATATAGTTAAATACTTAATAAATGGTACAATTTGCTGCTTAAGCTTTTACATCTTCATGTCTACAAAGGTGAGGTATAAGCATTCTCATATACATCTTCCTCATAATTTGTGTAAGCGTCAGAGTCGACATTTTTTGTAGAGGTTGTTCTTGGACCATCTTTTGGCTTGTTCATCCATGGCTTTCTGAATATGACTAAAAGTATAGCAATTGCAAAAATGACAACCAAAGGCACCACTGTTGCGGTAATAATGATGGAATTCGATTTTCTGTCATCTTTCAATGATGTGTTATCCGGATATATGTTGATGTCATCAACAGCAATTACTCCTAAACTTGATGGTCCAAGTACTGCTTCAAATAAGATCTAACAACGACAAAAACAAAAACAGTTTACATATATTTTACACGGAACTCATCATTCAACCTTTCTCACCAAAGTTATGTAATAGCATACACATAAAGTTTTTTTTTCAGAGAACAACAATAAACATTAGCCATTATATTTCAACAACAAATATAAATTAAACATTTACCGCAAACATTGTCATTGACTGGTTCACTTTCATTACGTTAACCTGTTCCCATCCTTGTGTAATTCCATTTTTTTCCCAAATCAGTTTCTTTTTATTGTAATTCCATTCTTCTTGAATAAAAACCCGCAAGTTTAGCTGTGGGTCGAAGTTCATATGAACGCTAAAGCCGACACTGATACTTCCATTGTAGTTAATGGGTGGTGTTTGAATACATGCTTTGTCTTCTTCACCACCTTCAACATACATGTAGGTAGAAGAATCTAGAAATTACAAGTAAAAAGTATTATAGAGGTAGGCTCTTGCATTCAGTCACTGTCAACATAGCTATTTTATGGACAAAATATATATATATATATATTTGTATATTAGATATTTGGTCTCAAAATGGCTCCCTCACTTGTAAAGTTACTGTTGTTTGACACATTCATAAATGCAAAGTTGAGTATTCCGTCTGTCATCGGTATTGATCTGCGTAGTCTCATTTAAATATATAGAACTAGACTTGTTACCATATAAATTGTATGCAATTTTTAAAAGCTTTTATGAGTACCCGATAGTCCATGGACACCATAGTTATTGAAATAAAGCCAATCTAAGTCGTCGTCATATCTCTGGAACAGACCACACCCAGCAATGTCATTCTCGAAATCGCATGAAAATGTTGCAATATGATTGACAACAGATTCACAGTCATCAAGCATAATGTCATCAATGGCGATAGCACCTCTGTAATAACTTTCTCCAACTGTCGCTTGAAACAGTATCTATAAATGAAATAATAAAATATCTACGAGGAAGCAACAAACACACATACACACACACCCATAAATATATATTGTGCCCAAATATAAACAATATGTTATAATTGCATCAAGCATAGCCCTTAATAATAATAATTATTTAATAATAATAATAATAATAATATTAATAACAATAATAATAACAATAATAATAACAATAATAATAATAATAATAATAATAATAATAATAATAATAATAATAATAATAATAAATAATAGTAATAATAATTTATTGACTCTATGCAGATACCATTTACATCAGCGGCACTCAAGTGGTGCTTCAATCAAGAGAAATAACTTAAATGGAATCTAACAACTTATCTAGAAAAAAAAAATACATTAAGAAGCATTTTAATGCTTGTATACACCCTCATAAAAACATACATACACATACGCCTGTACATACAAAGTGTGCATATATACATTTAAATTACTTAATAAAAAAAAAAACAGATAAGGCTGTCGCCCTGCATTGTAAGTCAGTATGCCGTACTACAGACACAAGTTCCTGCAAGCTCCCACTATCACATGGATGAGCCACCACCGGGCCGAGAAAGCTGACTTGCATGAAGAGATATGCCAGCCATCCACGCCGTGAATAAAGCCCACACCCAGGTCCAATACAAAGCGACAACCCAATTCTGCATCAAAAGAAAATGAACAAAAAAAAATGAATGCAAGAAAAACACAATTTCCATACATAACACCACAGCCAGCCTAAACTATATAAAATTTTAAATCGCTTCTTCCACTTTCTCTTTGCAGAAGTTTTGCAAAATATGGCAATACAATCGAAAAATGATTAGGCAAGTTAAGTGTATTTAAGCGATTAAGTTTCATGATTATGTAATCGTGTATGATAAGAACCAGCTGTACCTTTTTGTATTATAAAAACAAATCATTACCAATGTTTTTAGCCCTAACACCATCAATCTGGTTTTTTTTGTTTAAAAAATTAGATGGTACATTCCATTTGTTAGTGTATTCCACTGTTAATTTTTGGTTGCAGTAAATTTGCTTATCAGTGCTCCTGCTGTGTAGATAAACAATTCGGTCACCAAGGTGCTCAGTGCTTACCATTCTTCAACTCAGCTTTGTATCTCTGTTTCCAATGGGAAAAGTCTGACAGGATTTGAACCTGCAACCACTCGCTTTCCATTTGTTTAAATAATGTTTACGGTGCTATGCAGCAAACTTAATTTGAATACTATTTACACAAATGTATGTATAAATACATTAATCAGTTAATTAAAATCAATCAACCAGTCAGTCAGTCAATCCGACAATAATCAATCATTCGGTCAATTATTCAATCAACCAGTCAGTCAAAGTCAATCGATCAATCAGACAATCATTTAATTGATTTAATCAATCAATCCGTCATCAATTTCTTAATCATCAATCAATCAGTCAATCGATCAATCAATTGATTGACGATCAATCAGACAATTGATCGAGGATCAATCAATCAATTAGACGATCGAACGATCGATCATCCATCCATCCATCCATCCATCCATCCATCCATCCATCCATCCATCCATCCATCCATCCATCCATCCATCCATCCATCCATCCATCCATCCATCCATCCATCCATCCATCCATCCATCCATCCATCCATCCATCCATCCATCCATCCATCCATCCATCCATCCATCCATCCATCCATCAAATCAATCAACCAGTCAGTCAGTCAGTCAATCCAACAATAATCAATCATTCGGTCAATTAATCAGTCAGTCAAAGTCAATCGATCAATCAGACAATCATTTAATTGATTTAATCAATCAATCCGTCATCAATTTCTTAATCATCAATCAATCAGTCAATCGATCGATCAATTGATTGACGATCAATCAGACGATTGATCGAGGATCAATCAATCAATCAGACGATCGAACGATCGATCATCTATCTATCTATCTATCTATATATCTATATATCTATATATCTATCTATCTATCTATCTATCTATCTATCTATCTATCTATCTATCTATCTATCTACCTATCTATTAATATCCATAAATAAATTAGTATTATTTATCAACCAAAAATTATTATTGGTAATTAAATAACTGTTGTGCTACAGTCTAATTATATAGACATTATAGAACCTACATACTGTGAAGTCGGAGCTTATTGGTACAATGTCCACTTTGGCTAATTTCCATTGGTTTTCCGTAGGTGTTTTACTGTACCAGATCTTATCAACGGCATCTAAAATTTCCAGATACACCTCCAATTTACCGACATCTTGATCAATATAATACCAAAATGTCAGACATCTTGGGTTTTTCGTTGATGTAAGCTTTGGAGTGAAAAGTTTTGCTGTATTCCCGGCAACCGGAAAAGATGACTGAATATACATGTAATGACCTTTATATAAAGAAGTGATATATTTTAGTTAATCGTTATAAATTATACTGCAAACAATAAATTGCCAAATATTGGCTTGTATATCTGCACTTGAGGCCATTGCAATCAACAAAAGCCATGTTGAGCTGTTATTCAATATTATATAAATAGTTTTCTTAGCAAGTAAGTGTATATAAATAGGCCTAATGTAATCATATTATAATTTGCCAGCTTTTTCTATTTATTTGAGCACTGTATTATCATTTATTTGATTTATATATTATTTGTGTTTTCAGCTTAATTTGAATATTATTTCCTATGACATAAACATTACATAACATTTAATTATATTATTATTTGCCATACAATTTAGTCAAAAAGGGAAATATGGATTGTTTTTTTTTTTAACGTGTGATTATGTTAAGTTGCTAATTAGCACTGAGAACACAAATAATGTATAAATCAAATAGATTATATTACATAGTTCAAAATATATAAAAACATGATGGTATAAAAGCTATTTCGTAACTTAAAGGTTTGAGATATAATTCTCTATGTTAAAACAACATAAAGTTTGATTTTTTTTTAGGTAGTTTTAACTAAATTTTCCATTCATCTTGTAGTGTGCATGCGCAGACCAGTCTTGAAACTGAGATGGCTACAGAATGAATGGATTTGATTGGATTTATTCATTGTAAGCACAAAGGATAGCCCACGAAAGTCTAGAAGAAGACTTATTTCTAGTGGGGTCCTCCTGGTGGTGATTTGGCAGACGCGAGACAATCCCCTACTCTTTTCCGAAGATTGTACTGCGTTCTTTAATGTGCACATGGGCCATAAATGCACACAGGACCAACGGCTTAAACATCTCATCCGAAAAACGGTGCGCTATCATAACTTGTATTTCTAGCTGAAACACAAGGAGAGACAGCGAAGGGAATTGAACCGGGGACCTAGAGATCTCCATAGTTCAACGTACACACAGTGGCTACCACCAGATCAATGCCAAAGACAGGATTTTCTAACAGTGCAGGACAATATCAGGGTGGACCCACTTTACGCGTAAATTCAAATAGTTGACCCATTTTATGCCAAAATATGAAAAATCTGGACCCATTTCCTAAAAAAAATACCCATTTTAGGCTAACTATGAGATCTCTGGACTCAATTTTAAATACAATTGCATAATTTGGACCCATTTAAAAAAATGTGGACCCATACTTTGTGGACCCATTAGAAAAAATGTGTGGGACTGTCCCAACTGTCCAATAGCTGGCTACAGCATTGCACCAGATTAGCTGACTGAAAAGCTGCTCTCCAGATCATTATATAGTTTGTTATCCAGTCACATACTGTCTCCTCTTTTGATGACACACAATTTGAGCTTTGATGTATAAATTCTGCTATTTTTATGACATATAATTCATTGATCACATTAGTTTGCTACTTGATGACATTGTTATAATTTGCTAGTTGATGAAATTATTAATAGTTCATTGCCTAATTGATGACATTTAATATAAATAGTTTTGATGAAATCATTATATTTTGTTGCTTTTTAATGAAGCTATTAAACAGTTATGCATGTTTTCCCCCATCATTCTTTATTCAGAAACAAAAGAATGTATGTACAAAACAAAGGTCATGGTTTAGAGGCTCCTAAAACACATGCAGGGTAAGAAATTACATTGTCATAAAGACATTTAAAGAAGCGGAAATTTTCTCAGGTTTCGCTGTGGCGGGGATTACAAACAGTATAGGTGTAGCTTCGTAGGAGAGTAAATTGACATAGTTTCTTCATAAAAAGTTTGATCTGTTTTGTGCGAAGTTGAAAAATAGACTTTTCATTTTCAGAGGTGATTAACCCTCTACTTCCAATTTTTAAACAGAAGGTCACAATGGTATCAATTTCTCTAATTCAATGAGGTTACCGTGTTAGATTCTTTATGATTGTGGACTTTCTCAATGTTGGTTTCAAATGGAATGGTTAAGTTTAATAATTTGTATTTTTGTCTCATCCTTCAGAACGACAATATCAAGTTTGAGAATTCTGATTAAAATATTGGAATAGTTCCCCTAGTCTGTGCCCTAAGAATTCTCAATAACTATATAACACGGAAAAGGTACAAATGATTTTGTAATTTGAAATTCAAATCCCTATATGTTGTAAATAGTAATAACAATAATATACAATTATACAATACAAATCAAAATACAATTAATAATTATATTTTAACAAATTAACCTATACCAGATGAATTCCCAAAAGAATGATCAGCATTTGGCCGTGTTCCATCAGCCATTGTAATTGGCCCTTCTGCTAAGTTCCAATCAAAATCATCTTCATTGGTTCCTCCTTGAATGTAACCACACTCATCCAAAGACTGTTCAAAGTTACAATTACCAATAGTCGCTAAAAAAAATCAAATGAATATAAATTTAATTTATTTTAAGCTACACAGTGCTATTTAATGTTTTACACGTATATATATATATATATATATATATATAT